TAAGTTTTCGCCAAAAACTCTACCTAAAAACTGTAATCATCTGTTTTCGATTGCTCTAATATATACTCTGGACTTTACTGAGTCGACTGGTGATGCTCAAGAAAAAAAGCACATAGTTACAAGCTACAACTAGTCGAAAAATTTGAAACTCTTAAACTCCAAGTTTGGGGCTCACTTAACCGCACAAACACAATCTAATCCTTCTGTAACGTCAGCTGATTTATCAGCAGCAAAAATATCTTTACAATTACCTAAAATTAATGTTTGTTTATTACAAATTGGTTTAGCTGAAGATAATGTTCAATTAACTGAATTACGTACATCTGTTGATATTGTTACAATGTCATTATTTGCACTTTCATGTAAACAACTATAAATAGAAACAATTTTATCTAATCATGGTCAATCAACAGCTGGTGTTTTTAAAATTCAATCAATAACAGGACAATTCTGTCGATTTGAAATTGTTAATATTCATGCTATACAATCACAGCGTTGTCGATTACAATTTCGTTTACCAAATCATATACAAACACATTTACCACTTGGTAATAATAAAAAAAATGTCGGATTTGTTATGAATGAATTTGGTTTACAACGTTTATGTTTTAAATTAATTAATAATGCAGCTAAACAACGAGAACAACAACGTATACATATTTTAACAATAATGACACAAATTGATGAAACACAAACAACAAGAGCTTCATCAAAACATAAATCAAAAAGAAAACAATCAACTGATGTAAGTTAAAAGAAATAATTATCAGAGTATTACATAACTGGATTTCTCACTCACTCATTGCCTATTAGACAGACGAGATAGTATTTCTGGTCTGAATTGTTCAGCATATTTTGATATATTAGAACTTTGTAATAATACTCATAAAACGGGAAAATGTCATACATTTTATTTTTTAATATCTTTAGCCATTATTAGCATCACCATCGGCAATAAATTCACCTATAAACATTCTACTGGTTACTACTACAACTAATTCTTCAGTCGCTCCAGTATCATCTAGTCCATCATCAAGTAGTGTATTTGATGGTTCAATTGATCATGTTTGGATATCATTTCCTGAACCTCCACATCACACACATTCAACATCGAATTCTTCCAAACGACAACGTACAAGTACAACTAGTGCAAAACAAACTACAGCACCTAAAAAACTTTTTTCATATACACGTTATGGTTGGAATTTTCTTTCAACAATATCACCAACTGTTCTAGGTTAGTTTTGTGTTATTAATCGTATACAAAAACCAGTAGAAAAATTTCTTCATAAACGTAAAAAACGTTTTGATGCTATTCTAGCTTATTTTCTTATTAAAACAAAATCTGTATCAACTTTATCACAAAGTAAACTCTATGAATTATTAACTCCAAAAACAAAATATCTTCTTTCACATCCTGCTTGTCAACTTGTTTTTGTAAGCAATTTGATTATAATACTCAAATTAATATAAATCTTCAACCAAATCTTATACAAGAATTACAAATACTTAAACAAGATATACGTGTATCATGTCGTGAGTGGACTCAAGCAATCAAACAACAACCATATAAGATTATTGTTCAACCAGCTTCAAGATCAACAACAACATCACCTATTAATAGTATATTCCCAACAACTAGTAATGTTCAGGTTCATTTGAAGGTTTTCGTTTTGCTGAAAATTTTCAACAAACAAATAAAAATTGAAAACCTGTGCGTTCATTATCATCACCAAATATTATTTTAAATGCATGTTGTGTACTAAGTGGATAATATTTAATGCATTCACGTGCTAAACATATACTTAATTCTCTTAGCACAAAATGGTTTTTAAATGTTCAATGGAATATGAAAGTTATTAATATAAATTTTGATTCAATTATTGGTACACATTTTTCAGAATTAATTCGTACAATAATATCAACACATTTAATTGAACCAATTGATCATTTAAATAATGAAAATAATTCTTCACCAAATTCAAACTTATTAAACACACAAGCTGGTAATACAAAAAATATTTTAGAAAATATTGATGAAAGTGATGATGATGATGAAGAATAAAACGATTAGAATATGAACATTTAACATTAGGACAAAAGATTAAAACATTAAAGTAAAATATATTTGAAATATAGTATTCTTTTTTTTGTATTTTTATTTCATAGGCAATCTCAAACATCATATGAAATATTAAAAGCAGAATTAGCAAAATATGAATGGTTAGAAAAGAAATTATTACATACAGTTAAATAAGAAATATCACAAATCATGAAAAAACAATCGAATAAGGTATAAATAATTTTATAAAGTAATACAATTTAATATTAAGAACTAGAAAACCATTATATATACCAATGCTGACAGTAATTACCCATTTCTTCTAGTTTATTTTCATTCTTAACTAAAACTCATTGTATGAAATTTGTGTTAGGGATTCCCGAATTTCTGCTAACTAGCATTTTTGCCATTGGCAAAAGTCTTATTGATGAGGAGATAGTAAGCCATTTATTACTATTTACAGTAATTAGTTTCTTGTGGAAGTATGTGTGAAAATCTAGCATCGTATAAAAAAATAAGTTTTATAGTCACTACAGCAACAAAAACATATTATTACTATTCAACAACAAAATGAACTATTACGACGATCAAATATATTAATGGTGAGAATTTTAATTTATGTTCGATGTTGTGTTCTATGTATCTATGTGCATGTCTTTATATAAATCGAATACGTTTTAGTTTTCTGATATTCATAATTATATTGTATTGTTTGATGTGAATTATTCACATGTTTATTAATAGTTAAAAAAAAACAAAGATACATCTAATACAACTATCTTTTTATTTAGTCTGGTCATAATCGTGATCGAAATCGTATTGATTCACCAAGTCATAAACGAACACAATCACATGATCCTAGTAAACCTTTACATCATACTCAGTGAGTTTTCTTTTAATTAGCTTACTTTTTTTTCTCACACAGTACAAAAAGAAAAATTCATATATTGCTTCGTATATACATGCTAATAGTACGCGGCGTTATTCACTGGTGTACGCAGCCGCACTTGGCTCGTCGTCAGGTTCACACCGTCAACGAATGTAAGATTTAATTTCGTGCTTTAAACACACTCAAAATTTCTTTAAAAAAATGCTTTTATACGATATGCTGCTTTGTTGTTTCAGACAGCACAATAAAATAAATTTATATGATTCTACTTATCAGACATTAATAGAAAGCATGAAGTAATTCCAAAAGGGACACATGAAATGATCAATAATAACTACATGAATAGTTTTCTAATTGTTTTTTGTTTGTGTATCGTTCGAAAATAGGAGCACAACCGTCATCAATACATGAAGATGAGACAGAAAACGTTAGTATTCGGTAAATATTTAAGATTTTCAATTTAGATTTAAATTTTCTTTGTCATATCAATTAGTAGAATATACATAGCATTCGAGTTCAATTTTATATGTATAAGATTTAGTTTTATAATAAATTTATTATTTTAGGTTTCCATCACAAGATCCATCAATGTTCGATGATCCTCAATTAATAGCAACTAATACACGAAATGATATTACATGTGCACCAGCTATAGATTTAGAATTAAATGTTCAAATTCAAATTGCTAGTGGTTCATGTAATATATATATACAAGTCGTGATTTAATATCAAATTCATCATTTACAACAGTAAATCCAACTAAACAACAGCAATCTCAAGTAAATATTGGTTCAAGTGTATTTATAAATAAAGTTAAATATCAAGTATCACAGATTTTTCTTACCGGATGTTGATGCTATATACATTATAATTCTAAACATAATAATACTATGAATAGTGCATTAAATAAACGAGCTAGTTTTTATTCTCGTGCTATGATACAATAAACTACAATACAAATAACTGTTCATCCATTATTATATGATTTTCTTGAACAAACACGTGAACATGTAACATTACTACAGGAACAAGATAGACAAACTAATTTATAACAAGAATAAATGCAAAACGTTAGTGAATAAAATTCTAATAATGATCAGTTAAAAACAATGTAAGTTTATTGATGAATATGTACATTCTCTTTTTCTTATAGAAGAATCTAGTAGAAAGAAACTATTTACTTGCTTGCGTATCTGCAGTTCAACAAAACTCAACAACACTACTGTCTACCAGCCCAACTTACAATACCGAGCACAGTGAACACATCCCGTTCAAACTTTGAAATGCATGGAAGATACCAAAATGTCGTGTGTGGCTTAAGTCAAGAGCGAACATATACTAGTGACTTATTGATTCTACCAAGTGGTGACACGATAGTCAACGAATCGATGATCAATTTTGAAGGTCTTGTAAGAGTAAGGGTGGGTATGTGGGTAGAAGATTTACACACATCATCAAGAAAAGGAGCAAATACATCACATATTCTGAATGCTAAAACACCTTCTTGCTATTACTAAAATATGAGAGAAGAGTAAGTCTTGATCAGTCTATGTTTTTATTTCAGATATTGTTTGAAAAATGCCTTTCTACAAAAAAGTTCAGTTGAAAGTTATGAAGGAGTCAAAATATGGTGTCGATGAGAAGGGTTTATTCGCAGTTGAAAAAATTTACAAAGGTGAAGAATTAATTTACGAATATGATCCTTTGGTCGAGGAATGGCCATTTTATCCTGATAACGATAAACGAGGAAAATATACCAAAGCAGAATTATTCAAGTTGATTGAAAATAACCCGAAACTAAGCAAACTTATCTACTATCAAGCTTACAATGTTGACGATGATTTATTCAATCTTCCATTTAAATATGCAGTCATGGATTCTGATAATGTTGATGATTGTGAAAAGCGTTTTCCTCATACTTTATTCATTAACCATTCTTGTGACCCAAATATTGGCTTTATTGAAGTCACAAAATGCTACGCACTACGAGACATTGATATTGGCGAAGAAATAGCACACAATTATGGATGTATTATGACCAAAAATCCTTTTCAGGTTGGATTAAAATGCCAATGTGGATCAAAAGAGAAATGCCAACAAATTCTTCGCATGGATTTTTATAAGGACCCAATATGGCGACAAGAAAACGAACGATATTGCTTCTCCTATGTTAAAAAGAAGATCCAAGAATTACTATATAACAACGAAACAATTGCTAAAAGTAAGTAATTTCGAACGAGCTATTCCAGTTAATGAGTAAGTCATCTAACTCATAATGGAACCTTTCGCATTAGTTAACAGCTGTCTTAACTATAGCCTGGCCAAGTCCTCAGTTTCATAACCAAACTTTCGAATCTAAAATATTACATTCCCATAAAGAGCCTCGACTGAAATAATCGATTTTTAAGAATGAGTTTCTCAAAAGATTAGCTACTTGAGGACATCAATAATGGTGAGATGACTTATAATTGTGTGATTTTTTGATGTATGGAAGAGGACCGTGAGTTATTTAATTCCTGAAATTATAAGTTCTATCCGATGAGATTTCGATGTGTAGTGATCAAGAAACATGGTCCAATCATTTTGTTAGCTTTCAAGCATTATTGATATCGAAAATATGCTAAAATCTCAGTTAGGTGCGTTTTATGTGTCACATGTAACATGTCTGAAATTTTTATAGTAAATTGATTGCAACGAGCACTGTTCATGGTAAAAAATTTAAGGCTAGGTACATGTGCCACATAAAACGCACTCAACTGAGATTTTAGCATATTTTCTATAACGGATAATGCTTGAAAGCTAACAAAATGATTGGACCATGTGTTTTGATCACTACACATCGAAATCTCATCGAATAGAGCAATCACTTACAACAAATAAATGTATGTGATTAATTAGGAACTATTCTGTGAGGATATATGTTGATTGTAAAGATGAATCTGCTAGATGTTTTTCTTCTGTCGCATACTATTTCTTGTTTTTTTTATATAGCTACTATAGTTGAGCAACAAATGTCAATGACCGATGCTAGTATGTTTTGGCTTGGTGTTCTCCATGGTTATAAACTTGATCGATCTCTTCCATTACCATTTGATCGATATCGTCTTGTGGATGAAGATCGAACAGGTCGTGGAATATCTGTTTTCGTCGACTTTGGTGAAGATCTCTCACATTACTTTCTTCATTATGCATCATCAATGAATATAGAACTTGAACATCTTGTATTTGCCATTTATTATGCTTTTATGTTCAAGTTAACAAATGGAGAGACAGATTTGTGTGTTGCAGTTAATATCGATAGTCGACATAAAGATGAATTCAAAACAGCGATTGGTTTGTTCGGAAATATCGTTCCATTACGATGTCAATTAGATCCTCATTGGTCTTTCCGACGGCTCATCGAACATGTTTGTGAGATAATAGCAAGCACTATGAAATATTCTTACTTTCCTCTTAAACGTATTCTTGCCCAACATTCCAACGCTTCAAAGCCTGCATTTCTCGACATATTATTCGAGTTTCTGTCAAATGAAAATGTTGAGAATAAAATACTGTTCGATGATAGTCGACTTCATGCCATGTCAATGACCTCAATCAGAAGTAATGACGAGGAAATCATGAGCAACTTTGATTTTTCTCTCACTATGCAACATAATTCTAACACTAATCAACTATCATGCACAATCAATGCATCACTTGATCTGTTCAATCGAAATACAATTGAAAAGGTTGGACAACGATTTCATTCGATTTGCAAACAATTGTTTACATCTACTCATGATCAAACAAATCAATCCATCTATGAACTATCATTAGTAATGCCAGATGAAATATTACTCAAGCAATCAATGAATAATACACAAGTGTCATTTACTTCTAGCACTTGTATTCATCAAGAGTTTGTCTATCAAGTAATGAAACATCCACAAAAACTAGCTGTTGAACTTGACGACCAATCATTAACATATTCTGAACTTTTACATTATGTTCAAGTGTTATCTTTAACTATTGTTAATGAATATCATGTGCTTCCAGGTGAAGTGGTATGTCAATGTGTTGAGAGAAGTTTATCAATGGTAAGTTGATTAGGAGAAATAACTATTGATGAGACGTTGAGATTGATTTTTGATTAGGTGATTGGTATAATGGGAATTGAAATAGCTGGTGGTGTTTATTGTCCATTATCACCTCGAGATCCTCAACATCGTTTGCATGGATTAGTAGAGCAAACTCAATGTCGCCTTGTACTCGCTCACCATTCTACAACGTTAAAGTTTTCTAGTGAAATTGTTTCATGTAACCTAGATTTAATATGGAATGTCGATCACATTAACAGTTCTATAATTATGGATCGCCTTTTGGATATTGTAGTAACGACAGACGATATTGCATATATTGTTTTTACTAGTGGTTCAACAGGAACATCGAAAGGAGTAGGGTGAATTCTTGTCTAAAGAATAGTTTTATTTGAGTTTTGCTTTTTAGGTCCAAATTCGTCATCGAAATTTATTGTCTTGCATTGATTCTCTTGTTCGATTGAATTTATTCACAAATAAAGATACTATGATACAGATGGCAAGCTGCTCATATGATGTGCATGTTCAAGAAATCATTGGAACTTTAATCGCTGGCTCGACGATTATAATGCTTCATCCTCAAGGAAATATGGATTTAGACTACATAACGAAGATGTTAAATGAAAAACAAGTGTCATATCTGCAGTGCGTACCAGCATATGTGAATATATTGTTGGAATTTTTACAAAGTCACAGCATTCCAAGTTTCGGTAATTTGCGTAATGTTGATATTGGTGGTACGTGTCGCATTTTATTTGTTAAATGCTTATTCTTGAAGCTTTCTAGGAGAAGCGAGTACAGTTCAGCTTATGGACAAGTTATATACATATCTGCCACAAACATGTTCTGTATGGAACATCTATGGACCTGCAGAAACAACTGTCGATTGCACAGGTTATATCATAGTTAGAAATCTAAATATGATCAGCATTCCAATGGGACGTCCACTACTCAACTACCGATGTATGATTATGAATGAGTATTTACAATCATCTATTACCGGCGAAGAAGGCGAATTGTTTATAGGTGGAGTGGGTGTATTTGCTGGTTATCTTGGACGTAATGATTTAACTGCAAAAGCTCTCGTTGAAATAGATGGTGAAGTATTCTATCGAACAGGTGATCTTGTTAGAATGGAAAATAATGGTCTTCTGCATTATCAAGGAAGAAAAGATCATCAAGTAAAATTACGAGGACAACGAATTGAACTTGGTGAAATCGAAAGATGTTTACTTGACATCACATCAATATCTGCTTGTGTTGTCATAAAATGGAATGATGACTATTTAGTTGCTTATGTCCAAAGTTCTGATATTCATGAAGAACAACTTCGACAACATTGTCAATCTCATCTTCCATCCCATATGATTCCATCTTTCTTTATTATTCTTGAGAAATTACCTTTGAATGCTAATGGAAAGGTAGATCGAAAATATTTACCAATACAGAAAACTTCATTCCATTCACCTGGCACGATCCATCATCAACATGTGGAACCAAGGAATGAACTTGAAATCTATATACATTCATTGTGGTGTCAGATTCTCTGTTACACCAGAATTTCTATCGATACAAATTTTTTTGGTATCGGTGGTCATTCTCTCTTACTTATTCAATTATATCAGAATTATAAGATGACGCTCAACATTGATGCGACTAAGATCAACATTTCGAGACTCTTCGAATATACCACTATTGCTGATCATGCTCGTCTCATTCATCAATCAATAGATGATCCAGAAACATACCAAAAGCTGTCTGTTATACATGATACGCAAGGTATATCGTATTGCTTAATCAATTTTGTACGCTTGTTACTTTTTCTTTGTGTTCCTAGAAACATCTATTCGAGAACGTGTTTGTTTAAGCTCTCAAGAGAATATCATATTAGTCGCAGATGAATTGTCAAGATATGAACCATTTCCTGTTACAGAAATTCAATTAGCATATTTAGTGGGTCGTGAAGGTATCATTGATCTTGGTCATGCTTCTGCTTTTGTCTATAGCGAATATGATTTCTCATCAACATTCAACATCGAATGCTTCGAACGAGCATTGAACTATTTAATCCAACGGCATGAAGCATTGCGTCTTATCTTTCCCTCTCACACCGAACAGAAAATTCTCAAAACAGTTCCTTATTATAGTATATCTATACTTAATTTAGATGATGTTCAGTCTTCCCAAAAACATCTGATAGAACGACGAGAACAACTATCACATCAGATTCGACCAGCTGATCAATGGCCGTTATTCGATTTTCAAATGACTCGTTTTATTAGCGATGACGGCTATAACATTCGTTTGCATTTTGGTTTCGATATACTTATCTTGGATTTTTGGAGCACAAACTTAGTTTTATATGAACTGAATCAATTGTATTGTAACCGGGATGTTATCTTGGCAGAACTGAAACTATCTTATCGGGATTACATTGTGGCAGAACAACAATGGAAGCACACGACCACTTATAGTAATGATAGACAATATTGGATAAATCGTCTAAAATCATTTCCACTAGGCCCAAATTTACCATTACAGTGTTTGCCAAACGAGATACATGTGCAACGTCATTGCAATGCAGCAACAATACTAGATCAATCACTGTGGCAAAAATTAAGAAAACGCATTACCGATCATGGATTGACACCAGCTGGTTTCTTAGCGTCAATTTATGCCTTAGTATTGAGTAAATGGAGCGATAATAAACATTTTGCTTTGAATCTACCAGTTTTTAATCGATTACCAATTCATCCACAAGTTAATCAAATAGCAGGAGATTTTACGACAGTTATACCATTGGAAATTAATTCAGATAAGGTAATTACTTATTACGAATTTCTTCACACTGTGCAGAAACAATTATGGAACGATCTTGAACATATATCTTATGATGGTGTGTCATTTATTCGTGACTTAATGCAGATACATCAGACAAGAGAAATTCTTTTACCGTATGTTTTCACATGTGGAGTAGATATTGAACACAATATGTTTTTTGATCAAGTACCCGTTTATTGGATTAGTCAAACACCACAAGTTTTTCTCGATCATATAGTAATGGAAATTGATGGTTGTTTATCAATAAACTGGACATATGTAGACAGT